GTGTTTGTTTGATCTTAATCTCGCCAGGTTCTTCCATGTTGTTAGTAAAATCCAGGAGGGGGCATTCCACTCCAGTGTGTGTATGAATGGGTGAATGTCTGTAGTGTAAAGCGCTTTGGGGTCTGGAGGGACTTCAAAAGCGCTCCATAAGTTCAGTACCATTTACCATTTACCAGTACCATTTTATTGATCAGATCACTGCTACGGCTATCCCTGTACTGCCGGCCAATTATATGATACAATTAGGGATGGCTACCAAATTCAATACTTTTATAAGTACTGACTGAATTCTGTCGGTACTACCCAGAACCTATTCACATAAAATCAAAAGGTAGCATGTTTCGGTACCTAAATGCATCATTGCGACCGTATTGGCATAAGAGTGGTGAGTTTTCCAYGCTTGTCCTGAACGCAGCATCACGCAAGAGCGTAATGACATCAGCAGCCGCTGGTTCYAGGGTTTGGTCTGAACRWAGCTTGAAAGCCTCGCAGATCCTGGAGTGAAACTCACCGAACAGACCGCCTCTGAATTAYCTGGTGAATTAATTATCTGGTCAGCACGATGTTTGCTTGCTCTCAGTAAATGAAGTACCGCCACTTTCTTTATTTCACCKGTCATTAAACAGAGACCGGCAGAGGAAAACAACAGAGGTGCTTACYGACAGTCTGAACGCGTCTGACAGTCTGCAGATTAAATTTAAGATTATCACTAATTTAAWTTATATAATGTGGATCAAAGYACAGAAGTCATAAAATTACTTTTATTTCATTAAGTTTAATTGCAGTTTTAAACATATTTAGTGTTTTTCTTCACTTGTTTTYGCTTTAACATCTCTCCTACAGCTCAGAYCACAATTATTGGCAAACATATTAGGTGATGATGTAATCTAGTGACTTGAGTTTGATTTTCGTAGAAAATAATGAGTTGGTTAAAACAGATGTTTATTCTCTATGTTTTTGCCCTTTACTTTTTCATAATTTTACTGGCTGGAAAGCTTTATTCTTTTTATATTTATATATATTTTTCTATGTATTTATAGACTGTCCTTTGAAGTTCACACAGTGTTTAGGAAGTTCACTTAACATGTTTAATATCATGTTGCATGAAACAAGAAAAATTGGAAATGGTGAAAAGCTAAAGCTACAGATTTGTTTGCTTTATTATAATCTGTTTTAAATAAATCTTACTTTGTTAATTGTAAAACAGATTGATTTATTGCTTCTGTTTGTTGAAAAATACTTAAGACAAAATATATAATCACATATTATATCGCAATTGCAATTTATAGATAAAAAAAAATCACAATTAGATTATTTCCTGATATCGTTCAGCCCTAGCACAAAGGCAACCGCAATAGCCAAACATGTTATTGGTGAATGCTACTTTGAGAACATTTCAGAAATCTTAAAAAGACAAAAATTCAGCGTCTTGATTGATGAGTCAACAGATATAGGAAATGTTAAAACCTTGTGTATATATTAAAAAAAATTCCCTTCTCACCCTCCGCGGGTGGTCTCTTTCATCCTCTGAGCTCGGGTCCTCTACCAG